AGTACCTAGCTCCAGGAATGCACCGCAGCTCCACCTGAGGCTCAGGAAGACAGTCTGAGATGTCACTGCCACTGCACCTCAAACTCAAATATGCTAATGGTTGTACAGAGGAATTCCATTGGGTGCATCCCAGTTGTATATATTGAATTGTGAGGAGGAAAATTCTTCAGCTTGATGATTTTTAAATAGTGTATATCAAGGAGAATTTATTTTCGCGACAAAACCGCCTCTATAAGTAGGTTATAAAGTAATTTTTATAGCAATTGAGCGGTTGTATTTTCCAAAGTGTCTTAGCCTCAGTTGTAACAAATTAAGTGTACAATCAAGACTTAGCAATAGCTTTCTGCTGCAGAGCTCCTGGCTCAGCACTACCTCCGGAGCTGGGACCAACCTGCATTGCGGTCTCATTTGTGTTATCACGTGTGTTACGGTGGAAAAAAGTGTGTTCATCAAGCTTATTTACTGTATCAGCAAAATACATGCAGCTGTATTTTAAAGTGCAATGTATTGTTTTATTGTATCAGGTCTATGACACATAACCTGTACAACCTTAATTTTTCTACATGACTATGACTCATGAAGTGAGGTAACTTTAACCAGTAAATAGCCTGTTAAGCCCCAAGCCTGTTTTCCAGGTTTCAGGCTCAAAAAGGACATTCCCATTATGGTCATTTGTTCTGGGAATGTCCTTTTTGAGCCTGAAACCTGGAAAACAGGCTTGGGGCTTAACAGGCTATTTACTGGTTAAAGTTACCTCACTTCATGAGTCATAGTCATGNTGTCCTTGTGCCGTCGGACGCAGTTTTTTTTTGTGTGGTGTGGGTTGGTGGTGGTGCGTGGGGTTGATTTCAGAAAAGTAGTTGTGTCACGCGCGGTTTGTGTCTAAGTAGGTCTGGGCGACTACCGACCGTTCCTGTCCTGAGCGTGACACGACGATCGTCTGTCGTAATTTCAAGCAAGAATAAATCCCTGTACGACCAAAGTGACAGGTGCCTACTCTGGTTTGGTGTGCGCCACGGGTTTACTCTTTGCTTGGCTTCCTGTTTATCCGCGTCTTTTTAGTCTTCTGTCGCGTCGTACGATCGCGTACCCGCGATTCAGTAGTCTTTGTTTCGCGTTACCCGTCCTTGCATCTCTCCTTATCGTCCGTACGTGGGCTGTCTGTAGTCCGGCCACGTACCTTGTATGACATATTCTTATTTGATTTAGTATATAACTGGTCATTAGTTCGGTATATCCGGTGTTACAAATACCTATGTGTGATTGGGTACTGTGTGAGCTGTGTTTAAGTAGCGGCGCGCGAGTACGCGTAGTCTGGTCCGGTCCTGTCACAATAGAGCGCACACGACGGGCCACGAGTCCCGGTCGCGACCACTACTACCTCTACAGGGAGTCTGGCGACACTTAGCCGTCGTCCGTTAACCGAACTGTGAGAGACGCGGGGTCAGGCCAATGTAAACAGACGATTAACGACACAGGTATTGCCTCACAATATGTGCGGGCGACGCCAGCTCCCGTGTCCTGTCGGCATACCGGCCGACTCCAGCACCTCGTCTCCTGTTGGCTGTCCGTCCGACGCCAGCTCCCTGTGTCCTGTTGGCTGTCCGTCCGACGCCAGCTCCCCGTTTTCTGTTGGTAAACCAACCCTCTCAAGTCCCTGCTCAAATCCCCTCTCCAGTCTCCTCTCAAGTTCCTACTCAAGTCCCCTCTCAAGTCTCCTCTCAAGATCGCTCTCAAGCCCTCTCTCTCGAGTCTCCTCTCGAGTCCCCTCTCGAGTCATCTCTCAAGTCTCCTCTCCAGTTCCCTCCCCAGTCTACTCTCAAGTTCCTACCCGAGTCCCCTCGAGCCTGGTCCCCTGAGTTCGCCCGCTGTGGTCTTTGCACCTCCTCGAACTCTGCCTTGTCCCCGGCCGTCCGCCCGAGACCCCCGCCTCGAACTCTGTCTTGCCCCCGGGCCGTCCGCCCGAGACCCCCGCCTCGAACTCTGTCTTGCCCCCGGGCCATCCGCCCGAGACCCCATCCATGGCCTCTACCTTACCCCCGGGCCGTCCGCCCGAGTTCCCCACTTTGGACTCTGCTTTGCCCCCGGGCCGTCCGCCCGAGTTCCCCTCCTTGTTTTCTGCCTTGCCCCCGGGCCGTCCGCCCTCCACCCGTCCTCCAGACCCCCTCCACCCACCCTGCTGGACTTTGTTTTTTGGGACGTCTGGAATCCGTCTTTTGAGGGGGGGGTTATGTTACGCTCCTAAGCTCATGTCACGTTTATAGTTTTGTAGGTTTGGGTGTTTTTGCTGGTTTCCATGTCATGTTTTCTCTGGGTTATTGTCTGGTCCTTTTCCCTGTGTTTTTCCTCTTGTCATTAGTTCCCTGGTGTGTCTAGTTTTCTGATTGTGTTCAACTGTGGCCCTTGTGTTTCTCCTCCCCTGCCCAGCTTTTACTTGTCTTGTGATTACCCCTCCCTGTATTTAGTCTTGTCTGCTCCTGTGTTCAGTGTTGGGGCTTCTTTTGTGTGTGACTTAGTTCACCGGAGAGTGTTTTGTCTGTTCCAAGTTTATGTTAGACCTTGAAATAAAGGTTATATCAAGTGTTATCTGCGTTTGGGTTCTACCTGCTTCACTCACCGTATCACCTATGGATTAAACTTCAGCTGCGTTTTTCTCGTTTTAATGCCATTGAACACAACCTTTGATCAGAATAACAGCTAAAGGTGAGCATATCTCCGTGTTTTGCTACCTAAAGCTACGTCGTGTGTTGTCTGTATTTGTATTTTAGGAGACAGGGTTGTTATGTTATAGTTTGGATTCCTAAAGCTAGTCTACTATCCCATCATTCAAGGATGGTTTTCACTAGAAGTAATCTTTTTTTTCTGGACGGACACTATAATTTACATTTTTTTACTATGTTCAATCTGAATTGACTTTAAAATAAAAAAAATCTATATTGATTCTGA